AATTCTTGGTCAGGATAGAAGAATAATCATTAATTGGGTCCCCAGCTACATTGGCATCAGAGGGAATAAGCTTGCCGACAGTCTAGCCGACATTGGCAGAGGTATGCCCCCAAATCCCATGATCATACAACCGAGCTGAAAATCCTAAAGGAGAAGTGTACTGCCACAGCTCTTACCTTCCTCTTGCAGCTTCACATAGAGAAGACGGGATCCTCCCCCTTGGCCAGATGGTACTCAGATGCCACAGATTATGAGCCACAGGCACTCTCTGAAGTAATCATCAGAGGTACCGAAGTCACTTCACAGACTAGGTAACCACTTTGCATGGCAGATCATAGAGACTACAAACTATGAAGACAGGTGTTACATGCATTGTGGGGTGCCAAACGCAAACCTGGTATACTACTTACAGAATTGCGAGCACACGCAATTTCTGAGACCGCACACAACAGCCGCCAGGCTGGTAAAGAAATCATGCGGTATGCTTACATCATGGCGGCAGGAGCGCCAGCTGGCAATCCCACCACCACGGTAAGCACCGAGTGTCAGAGGACAAAATGAGACAGCCATAAATAGCTGACACAGGCCAAGCCATATATGGAAGGACCGGGCGAAGCTAGATCTTCGCAAATCTCAATTGTATTGGAACCGAGAGGAGCATTCCTCGATCCCGCAGCAAAACACGACACGAAAGCAGCAGCAACACAAGAACTGCCAAGTCCTTGGGCGACTGGGGAGCCTACCGGCTCCCCCATTGATCTCCAGCTTCACCCAGTCATACCTGTGGGCACTCACAATCACTCCATAAAGAGATATAGACCAGTCCAAGTAGTAGATCCAAAAACATCAACTATATATATAAGTGTGCCTGTATGTGTATATATATGTATATATATAATGTAAATATATATGTATATATATTTATAATGTATATATATACACATATATAAATACATAGACATATGTATATATATGTATATACACAAACATATTTATGTATACATACATATATATATACTCACACATACATACACACGCATACACACACAGCACACAATGCATAAATATGTGTTTGTAGACACACACACACACACACACATACACATGCGCATATATATATCCCATTCGTACCAAATATAGTAAATTTGTGTCAAATTTGGTACACAAATCGAATTTATTAATGATTTATCAATATTTTTTTTAGATTCTGATATTGTGCTATTATAGAGGATTCTCATGCAGAAGTCCTTTTGGAGGAAGAGTGGCCTCAAGAATTTACCACCCAAAACATGACTCAGAGGAGGAGGAAGAGGAGAAAGAGATGGTGCCTACAGAACCTTCATTCTCAACTAAAAGTGAAGAGGAATCCAGAAGTAGTAAAAAAATATTATCAACAGGATGTAACTGAGTAGTAATAAGGCCCTTAGTAAGCAGAGTGCATGGGTTCCACAGGGACAGAAATTACAGTAAATTAAGTATTCCATTATTCCCCAGAGTATTTTTATGGATAAATGCCTTAAAATATATTAGAAGCCCTTATTGTAGAGACATAGAAGAATTATTTTGCTAAGACTGGAACTCCACTTCAAATAAATAAAGATATGAAGAAATTTTGTCATGGGTGTACTGAAATTGCCCATGCAAAACATGTATTCTAAAGGAAGGACTGTAACAAGGCCGAATCAGCGGTAAGGTGCAGACAAGTCGCGTCTGACACGATGTGGTGATCCTGGGTAGTAGTTTAGGTGTATTAGACTTCTTGTTTACTAGCAGCAGTTTATTTTTGAGAGAGAATTTAGTACAGCTGACGGACGGAGGTCTGGTCCTGTCAGTAAACCGTAAGCTGTCTGTCTGGTTGCTTGCACGCGACCCTCTTTATACATATTGGATTGGGAAATTGACAGAGTTGCAATGTACCAGGAAGTGTGAATGAAACGAAATGATCGTGCACACGGGGCGACGTCACGAGGCAGAAGGCCTGCGGATGTCGCATCCGCTGTCGTTTTGAGCAAAGGTTTAGTTTAAGATTATTGTTGCTGTATTTATATTTTAAGTTAATAATGTTATATGTATGGCAATAGTAGAGTAAGGGAAGGAGTCTGCTACAAGTGGACCCAAGGGAATCCACTACCCATAAGGGTTAAGAGACACTCAAGATCCATTAGCGGCCCCTTTGAGGAGAGACTAGGTTTGAGTTAAAATGGGCTATATGTGAAAGGGGTCTTACAAGGACAAGGATTTCCATTATTGCAGATGCAATCTTTTTCAGGTTTTGAGGACCCAGCTTGAGCTTGTTGATACAGGCAAAAAGAAAGAAAATGAACTTTGGAACCTTGAGCCTTTACTATTCAGCATCAGATAGAGATGTATGTAGCTGGAGAAAACACCCTCTGTTGCTGTGGATGAGATGATCATCCCCTTTACAGGTCGTACTATTTTGAAACAGTTTGTCCACGGAAGCCAAATCTACATAGCTTAAAGACTATTTGAGAAATTAGATTTCTTGTTGCATTATCATTTACGATTTCTTGTCCACAAGTACTGCGTTTTCATGCAAAACAAAAACGAAAAAGTTTTTGGGTACGAATGGGATATATATATATATATATATATATATATATATATATATATATATATATATATATATATATATATATTTATATTTATATATATATATATATATATATATATATATATATATATATATATATATTTATATATATTTATATATATATTAACATACACAGACTTGCTCGCTCATATATATATATATATATATATATATATATATATATATATATATATATATATATATATATATATATTAACATACACAGACTTGCCTGCTCATATATATATATATATATATATATATATATATATATATATATATATATATATATATATATATAATATACATATCCAATCGGGTAGATGTCCAGCTTCATCTATGTGTACCACCAAGGCGTTAGAAGTTCTATGGTGACGGATGTCAGCTCGATGTTCGCTGATCCTGGTGCTGAAACCACGGCCTGTCTCACCAAAGTATGCTGTATCGCAACTGCTGCAGGGTATGCGATATACAGCACTGTTAGGGTTGTTTTCGTGTTGCTTCTTGTCTCGTATTATGTCATGTATCTTTTTTGTGCTGGCGATTCTCACTGCATTGCCGAAGAATCTGCTGATCGCCTGGGAAATGTTACACGGCGGTAGTATGAGAAAATAATTTGAAGAAGGTGCATCTCTTGTATTGTGAAGATATTATTCATTTTCATTCATACCTTTTATATATATATATATATATATATATATATATATATATATATATATATATATATATATGTATATCTATCTGATTTATATACATATATTTATATATATATGTATATATATATACATATATATATATATATATATATATATATATATATATATATATATATATATATATATATATATATATAACCGCTTGATAAACATTTAACTTGACTGAAGTATGCGGGAAACATAGTACAGGAGAACGGCTGCTCGATTTTTGCCATAATAATAATCTCTCCGTAATAAAGATTGTTTTTCAATATCATAAAAGGCAGAGATACATGTGGGAGTCTCCTGTTGGTAGACACAATAACCAAATAGATTACATTCTTGCCAAAAGAGGTTGGAAGTATGTCACTAATGCAAAAGCATACTTAGACTTACTGCGGCGCGAACCACAACTTACTAAGTGCCAAACTTAGGATCTGATGAGAAACAACACAGAAAACAAAAAATTGACCCTCAAAGTCCTAACTACTAAGATGGCCTACAATGTTGAAGTGAACAACAGGTTTGAACCGCTGCAGGTTCTGGGAAATAATCACCAGAATGTAGAAATGTTTACATGCATCAAGGAAATTTTTGTGGAGAACCCGGAAGAGCAAATCAACACTGGAATTCGGAAGTCTTACACTTAACTGACTAACACGACGGGTGCTCCAAAAATGACGAGCTTTCATAGTGGACGTAGACATGAGGTTCAAAGAAGCCAATGGAGCAGCACAGAGAGGCTAGAAGGGATAAAGCTAAATGGCTTGAAAACCAATGTGAGGAACAGGAGCATAACAACTCAGGGAAGGCCTACAGAGCACAAAGGAAAGCGTTTCAGTCATGACAAAGGAACTTCAAGGTCCAATCGCACAAGCACTTTTTCCGTCACTTTTTTTGGTTTCCGCATGCAAATAATCCGAGCCTATCACCCCGGCAGAGTACCCATGTAGTGCCCTTGTAACAACCATGGTGCCATCCGAGTGAGGTTCCAGTAATCATACATATCACATTATTCAAAGAGATATAACTATGTAGAGTTGACTATTAGATTGTAATAAAAAAATATTCTAGATTATTAACTGATGCTTACATCATTATTTTATCTATGTAGTGTACGGCTGCGCACTCGCCGACTCTAAGGCCGATCTCACCAGGACTGACATCGTCCTCGGGCGCCTAATGGTTGAGGCTGGGTTTTTATCGTGCCACATGCCTGCCTCCTCTACCACGGAACAAGGGATGTGGGGAACTCTGCGATGCTGCCTTTGACTTGGATGGAACGTTCCCAGCTCCGCTTCCACCAACAAAGCGGGCGCACTCACTGTGCACCCGTACGAGGCTGATGGTTCACCCGCCATTTGCGAGGCGCAAATGGCGGGTGAACCATCAGCCTCAAACCCACTTGACTATATATTATATATATGGCCAATGCTATACGAGCCGCCAGAGACTGTTAACAAACTAATGTGAACATTGTTACTCTTATGTCCAAAGAACGTATTTTCTACCATGTCTCATTACTTGGGTGGCGTTGAAGTCGCCAAGATTTTTTTTTCTATGTCCAATACCGTAGATATGTACCGCCCAAATTGTATTACCAGTTTTCCTAGCTATCCTTTCCTTTATTTATTTTTTTCAATTATTCTCTCTCTTCGGCGACGCTTCTAAAATGTCAATGCCCTGAAGAGAGTATGGTCGTTTGTTTGTTTTTTCTCTCCCTCTCTCTTTTCATGGTTGTTCGGGTCCTTTGGCCTGGGGGTCTCTTTCGGGTTTAAATACCCATAGTTTTGTAAGGGGAAGATAGTTCAGTCCTGATTTTCATGGTGTATAGTGGTCCCAGTCTCGATGTTATTTGTGTTCGCTTTGGATTTACCTCGCTTCGCGCCAGGATTGACGAATTCGTGTTTTCGCAAAGTTTATTATTATTTTTATGGTTGTGTGTCGGAGACACCTGGCCTCTTTTGGACTTTGGCGTGTGACATGCTGCATTACCATCTGCAGGGTGCACTCTCTTTCACAATGTCCAAAAGCAGCACTTTGTGAAATCAGTGTCAGAGCATAAAAGGACCACTTCACATAGAAGGGACACTGCTTGAGGATCTGTACCTCCAGTGTGCCATTTAATGTTTTAAACTGAGTTATTACAATCTCGCTCATATTTTCAGGACCATTTGTATATAGTTACTCCATCTTGCAATCCTGAAAGGAAGTAAAAAGGCTAGATCAATCGAAGTATATTAAGCTGATATTCTAGAATATATCATGACTTTTGCTTTACCTGGGTTCCCACTTCCAGCAGGTGGATGCTCAAATACTCGCTCTCCCTTTTCACATTTACGCAATTACACATCCAACATTCAGCAAACACATTCTGTATTCACACTCCCATACACAACACACACTAATCAGGTGGTAGCAGCGTGCCGTAGGCCTGGAACCTTACATCTGTTCACTGCAGACGAATCTTTTCCTGAATATTTTTTTTTTTAAATTCTCGAACTTAGCCAGAAAATCCACTTGGTCTACGCCCCGCTAAAAAAAAAAAAACAAAAAAAAAAACATAAACAATCGTCAGAAAAACTCATTTGGAAAGGCAAAAAATAGTACTTGTGTAATAAGTCTTTCCGCATGCAAATGGACTGACCCTATCACACTACCGAGACAAACAAACTTGGCGCCATCCAAGTGAGGTCCCGGGAATCACACGAGCATTCTCATACATGTTATTTAAAAAAGAGACATGATTATGTATATTGTTCACAGGAATGTTTTAGAATATTAACTCACATTTACAGTAATTTATTCTATATAATGTACTAATAAAAACATTCTAACTGTGTTGATCAAGACGGAAATTAGTTAGCCGGAAACGGAGACGATCGTCTTCTGCTTGCATACGATACTAGCGGAAGTGCTAGTGCAATAGAGCCTAAAGGGCCTTCAGATACTGATATAGCCGCGTCTTGACTGATCTTCAAGATATTCAGAGAAAATGGCAAAGGTCAGTCGTACCACGATGAAGTTAAAAATCAGAAAACTACCTACAACCCCAGTGGACCTCTTATCCTGGAATGTGAAGTACAGGAAGTCATCAATAAACTTAAAGAAAGGAAGAAAAAACAGGCTACAGGTATCGAACGATCTCAAAGCAAACTAATGAAGACGGATATATATTTGTATATATATCTATCTACACACATGTGTGTGTGTACATGTGTGTGTACATGTGTGTGTGCATGTGTGTGTGCATGTGTGTGTACATGTGTGTGTGCATGTGTGTGTGCATATGTGTGTGCATGTTCATGTGTGTGTGTGTGCATATGTATGTGCATGTTCATGTGTGTGTGTGTGCATGTGTGTGTGCATGTGTGTGTGTGCATGTGTGTGTGCATGTGTGTGTGCCGTGCCGTGAGGCACTAAATGCCAGGTTGGAATCTGTCGCGGAATAGTCTTTCCTAGATGAGGGTGAAGGGAGTTTCTCTGAGCCTTGGTTGGCAATCCATTTAGTGATGGTGTCACGATAAAAACACCCTTGATAGCCCTAGCGAAGCATCAAGAATTTAGCTACTGACAAGATTATGAACTACACCAATCGAAGTATTCATAACGACGTGAATGGGGCTGGAACATCTTGAGGGTCCCACGGCCAGCAGGTGTCCCATTGTTCAGCAGGGTGGGCCCGGCCGTCATCATGCGACTGCTCGAAACTCTGAGGGAACAGCTCTGAGCCCTTCGGGGTTAGACGCTCAATACCATAAAGGAGCGAGATCAAAATTTGTATCATGTAGAAAGCATACTTTTATAAGCACGTTCAACACTAGGACACTGAATTTTTTACAAGTCTTAACGAACTTGTAAAAAATGCAAAGGATCAGAACATTGATATGATTGCCATTCAGGAACATCGTTTCTTTCATCCTGACACTAATATTGAGTACCACAAGATCGAAGACTATCATCTTGTACAGCCAACTCATCTGTAGGGGGTGTAGGCATTTTGCTTTCACCAAAAGCTATGGAGAATTTATTGAGCATAGAGAAGATATCACCAAGAGTTGTTATTGCCGACTTCAGGGGTAATCCTAGAACAACGGTCATATCTTGCTATAGTCCCGACAACAATAGTTCCGATGAGGAAACAAACCAGTTTTACAATACTCTACGTTCTACTCTGGAGAATGTTCCAACTCA